GGGGCTCCACTTGTACAAAGGGCTCCACTTTGTTTGTGTATGTCTGGTCTACAGGCTCCACTTCTACGTCTACACCAACACACACACACACACACACACACACACACACACACACACACACACACAAAAGTGATTTTAAGGGCAATCCTAGTGGAGCAGATCGCCAACAAAAGTGATTTTAAAGGCAATCCTCGCATAGCGGATCGCCAACACCAACAATACTCATCAGAGATTAACAAGTAATGAAATATGCGAATGTTTTGTTAAAACATATGTTTTTCCTAACGTGACAAATATTTTGTCAATCAAAAATTCTAGCATACAAATAAGTATTGTCTTCAGTGCAGAAATGTTTTACACAAGTCTTGGTCATGGTAGAATCTATATTATAAGTATTAATATTTAAAATGATATTCCAGGAATTTATCTCAAGCATTTAACATAAAATCGCACATAACGTATGGTACATTGCTATTCAAGTACCATCAAAGATGTCAATTTATTTATTCATTCAGTCTGAAAACCTGCATGATAAGTGAGTTTTGGAAAATCATGTACATAACTTAAAATTTAACAATGTGCTCTACTATATCCCTCTGAGTGCCAGATATATTACAACTCAAAATTCAGTGCAAGTAATCTCACATTTTGTAATATCATCTCAGATATTGCTTTCAAAAGAATTTTCAGTTGTTATCAACTTTCAATGTGGGGACTGTACAAAATAATTTTGTAAATGGTGCCAAAAGTTGACAATAACACTCAAGTTAAAATTAACAGGCAAGTAGGTCAGATCTGTTAAATCTACATTTGAATGTTAGTAAATCTGATAATTATATGACAAACAAACAAGAAAACTAATGTGTTAATAATATTTGCTCTCTTATATGAAATATTACCCATTTCCTGTATACATCATAATGTAATTTTTACTAATCCATTTTGAGATATTTAGTAAATTTTGAAGGAAAAAAAATGTTAATTTACCACCGTTAATGATTAAAAAGAGCAAAGCTTTTGAAATCATATCTGGGTCATCAGAATGTATTAAAACTACTATATCATCACATTGATCTATTAGTATTACTGATCTTGTCAAACTCTGAAAGATTTACGTCATCTTTAATTGATTACAGGTTGAAGTAATCCAGATGGATCTAATTTAAATCCAAACTAAGCTGCCGCTGGACATTGTTTATGATATCTTTTTTGGTACTCCCTGTCAAATACATACCAAGATTGTGTTTCTGGATTCCATGTTTGTGTGGATATAAAATAATGCACCTACGGCCTATATCATACATAAAAAAAATGAACACAGTCCTCAAAAAATAACAACTTTATTGACATAATTCTTTCTATAGAAGATATGCATACTAGTAGTCAAATAAAATAGAAAAGTGAAATTTCCTTTTCATTAAAAGGAGGAACCAATTTTACAACTCTACTAATATCAAAACTATTTGAGTTTTCTTGTTCTTTTTGTCTGTCTAACTCCTTCTCTCTTAACTTTATCTCAGCCAATTCTTTCTCACTCTGAGCCTTTAACTGTGCTAATGCTAACTCTTTTTTCATCTGTGATTCCATCTGAAAACGTTTCAGGTCTATATTACCAGAAATATCTAAAGCAGGATACGATTCTAAAGCTGTCCCAGGCAATTTATCATCGTCAACCAATTGCTCAAATATTACACTCTTCTAACATTTCAATGGAGGGTTTCTCAATAAAGGCTTTTGTATCTATGGTGTTAACTCACTGTCATTCACTGTCTTATGTGGTTTAACAATATAATTTGGATATACAACTTAAATTTCAAATTAATTTTGGTTTAGTTTGACTCCCGGACGAGCCCCCAACTGTTATGTCCCCGGACAAGGTCTAATTGTTGATTAAGACCAAGCCTCTTAAACTAATGTATGGTACGAGTCCCCACTTACGATAATGGAAGAATAACACAATAAAATGCTACAAAACTAGATTTATTGCACTAGTCCAATCAATGACAGTAATAACAGTGAGCATAGGCCAGGATTAATGAATATTAACATTACCAATTATATCTAGTTTAATATGACAGGTGGAAGTTTCATATAATAGTAACTACAAAAATATATTCAACTGTGAGCAGGGTTTACTGGAGTGTCATGTCAAACAAGGTCTCTATGCCAGTGCCAGTTCTCTGGGTTAATAGTTGGGTGAGAGTCTGTGGTCTTGGCGAGGTGTACTGTACTTGCAGTTTATTAAACGACGTTTTCATTGACGAGGAATAAATCTCTTCCGAATTCTTGAATTCGCTGGTCAGCCAGTTCGCTTGTAAAACTTCACAAAAAAGGGCAACACAGCCACGTTATCAGCAGCAAACTCCGAACCAGCGCACAGCAAGAGCAGCAACCACGTGCGAGACAACTCTTTTCATACTCTGCAACTCCGCCACATAGCCAAATCGGACCCCTTAGGCCGATCACGGTTCTGATACTCACACAACGTATCTACTCCCTAGCTTGTAGGTAATTTACATGTCATACGTAACAGTTCCCAACTTATAACTTTGCAGCTATTCAAAACCTGCACAATATATATACTCATGGAAGGTACTAACTAACCAAATTTCAATATACCGGTATTTTAATTAAATATTTTCATACTCAATTCACAAAACACACAAAAACAGCATATCACTATGCCCTCATGTAACCTTCTGTCCACAAGCCATAATAATTCAGTATAAACACTATGAAATCAATCTTCTCTATATATCTCATGAAAATTACAAGTACGTAACAATAATTAATTTTAAAATAACATAAAAGTAAGTAAACAAAATTAAAATAACAATTTAGTTAAAGAGCAATTGACAAGCTGGTACTAAATTACTGAATATTACAGAATCAGGTAGTTTACTATTATTAGTTAATACACACCTGTTTGCATTATAAACACACCAAGATTAATGTGGCAGTTTGTCATAATGTAAATAAATTTATCAGAATGATTCAATGAGGTAAAATTAGGATTATCGTTTTGTGAATCTATGACAAGTTTCTGTCTCATTTCATTGTGCTGTGGACAGTCCATAATGTAATGGTTCTCATCCTCAACTAAGTTTTTATCACATCTTGTACAAATTCTGTGTTCAAGTTTTGTTTTCGACCAAGTAAATCTCCCTTTTTTCAATCATAAGTTGATGGTCACTAATTCTTAATTTACAAATATATTTCCTATAATTTGAATTATTCGCATCCATCAAATAGTTTTCTATTGTAAAGTTTGTTTTAAATTTTTTGTAGGTGCAAAGTTTATTAATCTCCCCTGAATTTGATTTGTCTAAAAGTAATTGATTCCATATGTTGGAAGATTGGTCTATTGGTTATATTGGCCATTTCCCTGGGTATGCCTAAGTAATGAAGCATGTCATCATTTCTTCTTGGAATCTGTTATAAAAATATGAATAGTGGTGATGTGTATGCCATTCTCACAGTCGGAGCTACGTCACGATCCCCCAAACGTTGCCAGGACCAATCACAAACAGGAAAAGACAATGAATTTTCGGATTAACACCTCTGTTTTCCCCCACGCTAACCAAATTTCCCCCTCGCTAACGAAAACATCTTTTGTTTTCCACTGACTTCCTGTTCTGGTCTGTCTGTAAGAATCTGTTTAGACACGGTTACTTTTTTAGTAACCATGGTTTAGAGTTCGCGGTTTGTTGTATAAAAACCACAAAAAGCTATTCTATAGTTTATGATTGCTATCATAAGATTTCAAAAAGGTTTCTGAATCTAATGTATTTGTATGTGTCTGATAGAATTGCACATAAACCAAAAATATGATTTGCCTTGCCAATTGATACTGGATTATTAAAATAAAGCCTATTTTGAGCACAGTTTCCATAATTACAATGTATATATTCTACTTACAGAGAATGTGGCAATCCAAAATTAAAGAAATTTGGTGGAAAATACAAAGACTTATCACCGAGAGCAAGATTTCGCTGCTGGCTAGGGTAAGTAAACTTGTTTTTAAGTTTGTAATGTTGGGATTTCAGAGATTCTATTGTCCATGTGCATTTTGTACATCTTTCCTGTATGACATACTTCTGTTATATACCATTTATAGCATCAATATCTAGACATCTGTAAAATAAAAATAAAAAAAAAATTCTATTATGGGTTAAATAAAAAGACTACGTAAACTGAGTTGAAGATATGATCAACTTTGCTTTCATCCATCTACATCATTTTTATGTCAAAATTACATACCCTTATCACTGGTCAAATACAATTAAGGAATACTAGTGATAATGGTTTGTTATACATTGATGTAGGGTTGTCAGTTGAAGTCCTGGCTTTATCCGGGAAGGAGGGTTGGCGTTGGTATTTAATTCTTGCTGTCTTTCCCTAACCCAGATGAAAATATAAGAACCTGGTTTTGAATGTTTAGCACTAAACCCAAGTGAACATTAGCCAAAGTGTGACTTCATTAATTTTGGTTCCGTTCATCCAGACATGGTTCAACCTATTACATTCAAACACACAGACCATGTAGGACTTAATACATATGCATATCAATTGCCATTGCTATTTGAGTATGGCTGAATGACAGCCATTTTGCTCTTTCTACATACTGGATTTTGGTTGCACGATAAATTTTTTAGTGATTCTAACCAAATGTGCTCAGGCCATTACAGTACATTGCCAGCAATGACTGATTGCATAAGATCACTATAGAGCCAAATGTATACCCACACTACTGGATCTCTGCTAATGATGCAATTTGGCATTAAATGATGAATGGGGACTGAGCAATGCTTCTCACAACATTTCTTATTGGTTAAAATTCTAAGTATATATAAACTCAAACATTAATATTATTTGTTCTCATGCACTCACTACTGATACAATCTGATACAATGGTCACACAGCCCAGTTGTCGTAATGTGCAATATTGTGTCTGTGGCAAAAAGCATGCAATAACACATATTTTCTGAAGTAACAACCAAAAATTTGTCATCTGCACAATTTTTTTTTTTTTTATAAAAAAAGTGTAGGTAAATCTACAATATTACACTGGTATAATATTTCATTGTAAAATAAATCATGTATTCTCTGGGACTTATTATAGATTGGATCATTACCGGTAGCATCCATTGTATCAGGACTGCGTAGATCAACTCGCTGTACAAGAAAGCCATATGTATTCATAGCATTATGACCTGGTATTAATTTGACATTAGCAGTAATTCTCATTTTAGATTAAAAACACGTATTTGATGGTTTCCCCTGAGCCAATGAAATGATGACAAAATGTAGTGGTATACCGATGTCACCAATGTTGTTTTGTAATATTGATCAAAGACACATAGTGACCATTTTGTTATGTCTCGCACCAGAAATTTAATAACACTGCGTTGAGCGTTTATTTCAGCAATGATCACTATGTAGATCAGCTTGTTAGTATTGTGCATGTAGTGTGAATAAATGAATCAAGTCATAGGATGCTTAGTAAACTGAGAACTCCTGCTGGCTTCAACAAGTTTCTAACATATTGCACATTTCAACTCCAGGGGGCCTCAGTCACCAGTCTAGTATCATACCAATAATGTATCACATTGTGACAGAGACAGTATCAGTTTGAAACATTCCTTACCTTCTAATAGTATTGTTGTCCTATATCTAAATGTATAGCCTATAATCTATGCACCTATAACCTATAATCTATGCCCTATAACCTATAATCTATGTACCTATAACCTATAATCTATGCACCTATAACCTATAATCTATGCCCTATAGCCTATAATCTATGCCCTAAAACCTATAATCTATGCCCTATAATCTATGCCCTATAACCTATAATCTATGTACCTATAACCTATAATCTATGTACCTATAGCCTATAATCTATGCCCTATAGCCTATAATCTATGTACCTATAGCCTATAATCTATGCCCTATAGCCTATAATCTATGCACCCATAGCCTATAATATATGCCCTATAGTCTATAATATATGTACCTATAACCTATAATCTATGCCCTATAACCTATAATCTATGTACCTATAGCCTATAATCTATGCCATATAGCCTATAATCTATGCACCCATAGCCTATAATATATGCCCTATAGTCTATAATATATGTACCTATAACCTATAATCTATGCCCTATAACCTATAATATATGCACCTATAACCTATAATCTATGCCCTATAGCCTATAATCTATGCACCTATAGCCTATAATATATGCCCTATAACCTATAATATATGCACCTATAACCTATAATCTATGCCCTATAGCCTAGAATGTTACACCTATAGCCTATAATCTATGCACCTATAGCCTATAATATATGCCCTATAGCCTATAATCTATGCCCTATAGCCTAGAATGTTACACCTATAGCCAATAATCTATGCACCTATAGCCTATAATATATGCACCTATAGCCTATAATATATGCCCTATAGCCTATAATCTATGCACCTATAGCCTATAATATATGCCCTATAGCCAATAATCTATGCACCTATAGCCTATAATATATGCCCTATAGCCTATAATCTATGCACCTATAGCCTATAATATATGCCCTATAGCCTATAATCTATGCCCTATAGCCTAGAATGTTACACCTATAGCCAATAATCTATGCACCTATAGCCTATAATATATGCACCTATAGCCTATAATATATGCCCTATAGCCTATAATATATGCACCTATAGCCTATAATATATGCCCTATAGCCAATAATCTATGCACCTATAGCCTATAATATATGCCCTATAGCCTATAATCTATGCACCTATAGCCTATAATATATGCCCTATAGCCTATAATCTATGTCCTATAGCCTAGAATGTTACACCTATAGCCAATAATCTATGCACCTATAGCCTATAATATATGTACCCATAGCCTATAATATATGTACCCATAGCCTATAATCTATGCACCTATAGCCTATAATATATGCCCTATAGCCTATAATCTATGTCCTATAGCCTAGAATGTTACACCTATAGCCAATAATCTATGCACCTATAGCCTATAATATATGTACCCATAGCCTATAATATATGCCCTATAGCCTATAATCTATGCACCTATAGCCAATAATTTATGCCCTATAGCCTATAATCTATGCACCTATAGCCTATAATATATGTACCCATAGCCTATAATATATGCCATATAGCCTATAATCTATGCACCCATAGCCTATAATATATGCCCTATAGCCTATAATCTATGCACCTATAGCCAATAATTTATGCCCTATAGCCTTAAACTATGCCTTATAGCCTATAATCTATGCACCTATAGCCTATAATCTATGCCCTATAACCTATAATCTATGCACCTATAACCTATAATCTATGC